AGATGTAAAATTTGTCACAAGTTATATATATGAAAAATATTATATAAATTAGTGTTATATATTATGCAAATGTTTGATAATTGGTTAGAATATTCTTCAATCTGTCAATTCGTTTAAAACCGCCCAAATTGTAATTTATCAATACATCAATTTTTCATTCAATTTATAATTTTACTCTCAAACCATTCGAACTATACTGCACCTACGCCTACAAACAAGAGTGGAGCTAGAGAGAATTGGTTAAAGAATAATTTATTCAGCAAAACATCAACTGAAGCTATGTTTGATAATTGGTTAAAATAGTAAAAAAATCAATACAAAAAATTTAAATTATTCTTTATACTTTTTTATACATATTTTGTGTAAAAAAATTAAAAATCATTTAAAAAAGTTAATTCTCAAATCAATCCCAAAGTTTAATTAATGAGAATCTGAAAACACATATCTAAAAATTAAAACTAGAAGTACACCAATAATATGGCCTCTTTTGACATCTAAAAAAAACTAATTTATTAATTTATTTAAATTATATCAACTTTCTATTTTTTTAACCTTATAATCATTATATAAAGAAGAAAATAGAAAAATTAGTTAATGTTTTTTAAAATTTCTACATTTTAAGAGCGTTACATAATTTAGTTGTAAATGAATTAAGACATTGGGCAGTTTGGCAACAAGCTAAAAAAGTTAGTTTTTTAGTTTTTTTAACCAAAAAGGTCAATTTTTTTTATCAAAAACGTCACTAAAAAGTCAAAATATTAATTTTTTACCAACTTTTCAAAATATCACGTAAAGACATACAACACTTGGACCTATCAGATGTGTCACATGAAATGATATAATAAATATAATATAAAAACAAGATAAATATAGGGGTGTTTTGCAAAGGAAAAATGCTTGAGACCCTCATTTTTTGAAGACCCCCACAATTTCCTTTGAATCTCCACTATTGATATATGTATGAGACCTACTCATGTATGTGTGGAGTTCACATCATCAATGGTGGAGATCCAAAGAGAGTTGTTGAGGTCTCTAAAAAATGGGAGCCTCAATCATTGTTGTTTGAAAAGTTGGTCAAAAGTCAATTTTTTAGTTTTTTTAGTTTTTTTTTATCTTTTTATGGACAAGTTATGTAAAAGGTGATATGACCTAAAATGGGTTATAAGCTACAAGCTGACTTTTAACTAACTTCTCAAAAGAGGCCATAATATTATTGATAAATTTTGTATGAAAAATGATATATAAATTTATTTTTTAAATTTATTTTATAGATCTAATGATATGTAAATGAGATAATTAATTAAAAATTAAAAAACATATGAAAGAGAGTGTTATTTTTAATATTCTAATTAATTATTACATTACTCAACTTATTAAATCTAATTTTAGGCCTCGTTTAGAAATATGTTATTTAGTAATTTTTTAAATTTTTATAAAAAGATATGTACAAAAATAAAAAAGAGCGACGTGATAATTTATAATTATTTTTTAACTTTTTAATTAATTAGCAGGCCTCGTTTGGGAACAGGCTAATTTAGTAACTTTTTGGCTATTTGGCTAAAAAGGTAGGTAAAAAAAACTTGTATGTTTGGGATGACTTTTTGACTAATTACGAAAAGATGTGCAAAAAGTAGAGAGAAAAGAGAATCTTTGACTTTTTGGTATGGGTTGTTGGCTTTTTGGCTAATTTAGTAACTTTTTGGCTAATTGGCTAAAATAGCCTCTTGCCAAACGAGGCCTGCCATTTTGGGAACATAGCAAAAAATCACGTTTTTGAACAAAATGTCCAAAAACGCAAGTGCCAAAAACGCCAGAAAATTGGTTTGGCAAGTGCTAAAAACGCAGGTGTAAAATTACAAATTAGGGCCTATGAAAAAAAATAAAAAAATAAATTTCTTATGTTGGGTAAGGGTATTTTGGTCATTTTAATTTGATTTGACACTATAAATAAATATTAAACTAAAAAACAAAAAGCCAACTTTTTATCAACTTCCCAAATCAATTTCCAAAAAACTAAAAAGCTTGTTAAAAAATCAAAAGTCAACTTTTAACCAACTTCCCAAAACACCTCACTTTATATTTGTGAATATTTTTTTATTTTCAAAAAGTAATTTCGTACCACGCGGAACCGCCTATTTCGCAGGTGGGGTTTGTTTGGGCTTTGTTTGTGAAGTCACTTGGGTGTGTTTGGCAACGTTTACGTTTTCAGTTTATATTTATAAAAAATTTATAAATTGATTTTTGTTTATTTTTAGAAAAACATAAACTACAAACATGTTTGGTAATTGACAAAATGTTTAAAAAATTTTAAAAATATAAAAAAGAGTGAAAAATGGCAAGTGGTGGCAAGTGGCGGTGGAAGACGGTAGTGGAAAGTGATGGCGGTGGGTGGTGGGTAGCTAAGTTATTTTTGAAAAGAAAGAAGAAAGCGATCGTCTTTTCATTTGACTCGGTTAGGGATGAGACAACTGCCAGAGAGTCGGAAGATGAATTCATCTCTTTGGAATCCAGATCGCAGCTTGAAGAACTTGAGGGAAAAGTTGAGAAAGAACAGACCCTGCGGTGGGTAGCTGGTGGTGGTAGGTGGTGGATGATGGTGACAGGTGGGTAGTGAGTGGTGATGGTGAGCAGTGGTGGCAAGTAGGTGGTGGGCGGTGGATGGTAGTGACGGGTGGTGAGTGGTGGCGGGTGGATGGCAGGTGGGTGGTGGTGGTGGCGAGGGGTGGATGGTGGTGGTGGTGGTGGCGAGGGGTGGATGGTGGTGGCGAGTGGGTGGCAGGTGGGTGGTGGTGGTGGCAGGTGGGTGGTGAATGGTGGTGGCAAGTGGTGGTGGCGGAAGACGATGGTGAAAAATTGTGGCAGGTGGTGTCTAATGTTGAGTGAAAAAAAAAAAAAAAAAAACTAAAAACTCAAAATAGAAACACATTTTTTGTGTTTTCATTGTTTGGCCAAATTTATAAATTGAGACCACTGATTTATAACCCAAAAATTTTACCAAACAAGTTTTTATTTGAATTTTTAAAATTTTTGTAAATATAAACAGAAAACTAAAAACGTAAGTGTTTCCAAACGGCACCTTATATTTTGAAATGTGGTCAAGTATGTTTTTACGATCACCACCTTAAAAAAAATATAAAAATAAATTAAAAATATATTAATTAGTTTTAAAAAAACGTAAGTGTTTCCAAACGGCCCTATATTTTGAAATGTGGTCAAGTATGTTTTTACGATCACCACCTTAAAAAAAATATAAAAATAAATTAAAAATATATTAATTAGTTTTAAAATTATTTACATAGAGACCTTTAAATTGTTGAAAAGTATCATTTTAAACACTTGAATTATAAAATCCTTTAAATAAACCTCTTAAGTTATTGAAAAATATTGATTTGCACCATAAACTATAAAAGTATACAAATAAATTTATTAAATTATTGACGTATTTCACTTTGACTTCTTTTATCAGGAGTCTAATTGGTACATTTTTATAATTCAGAGGTCTATTTGTACGCTTTTATAATTTATCATATTTCAGAAATTATATCTCACTCATTGAGGTTTCTAATTACATAATACAAATAAGGGTAAATTACACTGACATCCCCTGAGATTTATGTTTATTACAGTTCCCTCCTCACATTTAGAAAATTACACTGACTCCCCTGTTTATTTAATTTTATGTATGATGATTATTACGGTGAGAGGAGAACTGTTATGCAACTTTAAACCTCAGGGAGCAATCTGTAATGAAACTTTAAACCTCAGGGAGGGGGATGTAATTTCCAAAAAGTGAGGGGGGAACTGTAATAAATATAAATCTCAGGGGGTGTCAATGTAATTTACCCTACAAATAAACTTCTTAAATTATTGATGTATTTCACTTTGATCCATTTTATCAAGGGTCAAATTGGTATGTTTTTATAATTTAAGAGTCTATTTGTATGCTTTTATAATTTATCATATTTCATTTATTATATCTCAATCATTGAGGTTTCTAATTACATAATACAAATAAACTTTTTAAATTATTGATGTATTACTTTGACCCCTTTTACCAGGGGTCTAATTGGTACGTTTTTATAATTTAAGAATTTATTTGTACGCTTTTATAATTTATCATATTTCAGAAATTATATCTCACTCATTGAGGTTTCTAATTATACAATATATGGTCTTTTTCCTTAATCAACTATTAACCTTCATGTTAAACACTTTATTTATTTATTTATTTTTTGTTATTACATTTTATTTCTTATTTTCCCTCAACCAGTAATACTATTTGTCTATAATTGCATTGCCCTTTCCCTCCGGAAAATGCCACCATTATTATTGAATACAAGTATCTGATATGTCGTTGAATATGGTTGAAGATTTGTGATAACGTAAAGAGACAGATTGGGATGGGAGAACAAAAATGAGAATAATATAATAATTTTAAGGTTAAGTTTGACATCTATAAAAAAAAAAAAAAGTTAAAAAGTCACTATTTTATTTAAGTCACATTATCTTATTTAAGTTACATTACCTTTTTATCACATCACTTCAAACTCAATTCATATTTCTTAAAAAGTAAAAAAGTGCATTTATTTAGAATATCCCAAACAAAGTATTAAAGGGCATTTGAGTGAATTTATTTTTTTATCAAATTAAAAAAAATCTTACAAGAAAATATTTCAAACATGAAAGAAAACTATTTGGTTGAGTTTTTAAAAATATATTTTTATTTTTTTTTAAAAATTACAAGTTAATTTGACAAAAACAAACACCAAAAAATTTATTTTAAATTTTTTAAAAATTAATTTGATTCCCACAGAAAAGAAAATAAATAATTTTCTATTTTTTTCACTAAGCTAATTTTAAAAAAAATTCAGAAAATTAAACCAAATAAATATTTTTGATAAATTTAATGAATTGTATTTGTAATTTATCATAGATGTTTAACGCAGTGGGCCATCCATCGAATTCAACGCGGCTGATACAATAAATCGCCATTGTATAAAAGGCAGTCAATTTGTCTTGGTCTTTAATTGTCCTTCTACACACAAGAGCAACACGAGAGAGAGAGAGAGAGAGAGATTATGTCGACTCTAACAGTTCCTCCTGTTCCTCCTTCCCCTCGGGATGATGCTGTCCAGCTCTACCGTGCTTTCAAAGGTATATATATATATATATATATATATAATTACCCCAATCTTTCTCAATTTTATGATTTTTTTCATGGTGGATTTTCTGGGTCTAGTGCTTCTTTCAATTTATTTACACAGTTAGACTTCAATTTTTTTTTTCCTTTTTTTTTTTGGGTTTTGAGTTGTGTCTTTGTTTAGTATATCATCACTTGATTCGTTGATATATACTTACATATATGTATAGATGTTCCTTTCTTTCTCTCTCATACTTCCATGTTTATGAGAATTCATAGAAGTAAGAAACTTATATGTGGGCCTTCTCTTGTCCCACTTGTAACCATCGATCTCAACCCTTAGTTTTTTTGTGGAAATGCTATGATTTATATTTTAGTGGTTTGCCCTAATCAATTGATTAGACTCATGTATATCTGTATTGCAATTTAATTTTATAATTTTTTAATCAATTGATAGGGGAGAATTTACAAATATCATGATAGTTATATCAAGAGAAAATTAGTGAAACATCTCTTTTCCAACATGTTTTTTTTTTTTATTAGCGAAAGGCCTTTGATGAAATTTCTTTGTGATTACACTAGAAAAATTTCTAAGTGAAAAGTAAAATTTCTTTAAGTTCGACGAAATTTCTCCATGAAAATGCTAAGAGATCTTAACTACTATGAAAATGTTGTATGTTTTTTATCTTATAAAATCTTAATATCAGGACCTTAAAAAAAAGAGAAATTTGGCCATAACCCCCTCTTACCTTCTTTTCTTGTTAAAAAGACCAAAAAAAAAATTTTACTTTCAAAACCCCTTCATAATTATAAAGTCTTGTATAAAGGAACAAAATTTTCAGATTTATATTTTGTGTGACAAATTTACCCCTTCATACACACACTCTCTATTTTTCTTCTCTTTCTCTCCATCAATTTGTCATCTCTCTCTCAGTTCCTTCTTTCTCTATCTCTTTCTAAGAGCTCTCTTCACCACCACCACCATCGGCTACCCTGACTACCATCGTTTCCACCACCTCCATTGTCTCCACCAATACCGTCTCAACCATCGATGTTGTTCGTCACCATCACCGCCACCACCGTTTCACCACTAGCATCTCAACCACTAGCGCCATTCGACGCCACCATCGTCCTCCTTAGCGTCCAAGACTTTATATCTGAGATTGATGACCTCAAATTTGAGATCTATCATCTCATATCTATATTTTCTCATTCTTTTTCTCTTTATCTCCTTATCATGCTCTGTTTTCCAGATAGTAAAATGTTACTCTGGTTTGAACCAAATCTAAGGCAATAAATGTGCTCTCTCTATCTCTCTATCTTTCTATTTCTCTATTTTTTTCTCTGGTATGTCCTCTGTATTTGTTTGACAGAATGAGAGTAAAATTTTACTCTTGTATGTGCTCTGATTTTGTTTGACAAAATGAGAGTAAAATTTTACTTTGGTACGTGCTCTGTTTTTGGTTGACAGAATGAGAGTAAAATTTTACTTTGGTATATGTTCTGTTTTTGCTTAATAAAATGAGAGTGAAATTTTACTCTGGTATGTATTCTATTTTTGTTTGATAAAATGAGAGTAAAATTTTACGTTTAAGGGAATATATGTGATTAATAATATAAAATTTTACTTTGAATCATAATAGGTTTTACTCTGATTTAGAGTAAAATTTTACTCTGAATCAAAGTAAAGTTTGCTAGGATTTAAAGTAAAATTTTACACTAAAATATACTGGGAGGATGACATTATAGGAGAGCTTATATATATATATATATATGAAGGTAGTATAGCAAAAGAAATAAGTTTTAAAATATTGGGGGTTTTGAAAGGATCTATATAATTATTGTCCTTTTGAATGACAAATTAGATAGTGAAGGTTTTATCACCAAATACCCCTAAAAAAAATTCCTCTTATATCATGCTTAATAAAATGAGAGTGAAATTTTACTCTGGTATGTATTTTATTTTTGTTTGATAAAATGAGAGTAAAATTTTACGTCTAAGGGAATATATGTGATTAATAATATAAAATTTTACTTTGAATCATAAGAAGTTTTACTCTGATTTAGAGTAAAATTTTACTCTGAATCAAAGTAAAGTTTGCTAGGATTCAAAGTAAAATTTTACACTAAAATATACTGTGAGGATGACATTATAGGAGAGCTTATATATATATATATATATGAAGGTAGTATAGCAAAAGAAATAAGTTTTAAAATATTGGGGGTTTTGAAAGGATCTATATAATTATTGTCCTTTTGAATGACAAATTAGATAGTGAAGGTTTTATCACCAAATACCCCTAAAAAAAATTCCTCTTATATCAAAAATAGACAATCATATCAAACCCAGGTAGACTACAACCAACCGGATGCCTTTGTATTATTGGAAAAAATGATTTTTTGATGATTTTAATGTGAAATTAAAGTAGGTCTCAACCATTGGTTGACGTGGGATTAAATGGGTTTAGATTCTTTGTAACAAGGCCTTTACCCCACAAAAAGAATGACATAAAATCATTAAGAATTGAATGAGAAATTGTCTCATAAAGTTGACCTCATGAAGAGGTATTGAAAATTGTGAATAACTACCAATCCTAAACTGATTGTAGAGGAAAGTTTTGATAGGTATTTGAATCTCAAGATTTTGATAAGGGTATGAGCCCTTTAGGAAATTCAAATTTTTTGAAGGAAGGAAGTTATGAATGTTTCAAGGATGGGCTTAGGCCAAGACTATGGTCCAAGTTGGTTATGGAAAAATTGCCATGTGCGTGCGCCGTTCGCCCGCTCTCTCGGACTGGGTCTAGGTCCGGGTCAGTGATCCGTGGATCTTGGGCTTGGGCTTAAGGCTTGAGGCTTGCTAAAATGAGTTAGGTTTGGGCTAGACCAACCTAATCTTTTTGGGCTAGGCTATGAAGTACGAATACGGACACGCGACATGACACGGACACGCGGACATGCAAATTTTAAAAAAATAGGGGACACGACACGCTGGGGACACGTTCAATATATATAATTAATTTTATTTATTATATGTCATAAAATTATAAAAAAATCATTAAAAGGTAATAAAATATACAAAATAACACTATTAAAATTATAAAAAATAAATATTTAATTAATTTAACGTTATATGTATCATTCACATTATATACTTTCACAATGGTTTGTTCTCATCAAAATTATCATCAAGTATATCATTAGAACTACCACCCGTAGCCATGGTTTCAGAATTAAAAATTGGTTCCTATAATAAAATTAATAAACATACATTATTAAAATTAACAAAACTAATAAAAAAAAAAATTTATGTACTCAAATAAAAACTAATAACTATAAAAGAAAATAATAACTGAGAGAAAAAAGAAAAAAAAGAAAAAAAAAAGAAATAGAGAGAGAGAGAGAGACGGATCAGTTTGTATAAAAGAAAATAATAACTATAACTCATTATATAACTCAAAAAATAAATGAAAACAAATCAGACAGAGGGTGAGAGAGGGTGCGAGAGAGAGAGAGAGAAAGAGACGACAACGACTGAGTAGATCGGAGAAAAGGAAGAATGAAGAAGAAGAAGAAGAAGAAGATCGACGACGAAGAAGAATAAAGAAGAGCAGTGTGTACCTTAACGACGGGCGACAACGAGACACGACCGACGACCGACGACCGACGAGAAGAGACGACTGACGAGGAGCGAAGACGAACGACGAGCAACCAGGTCCTCTCTTCCCTTTCTCTTATGTTCTCCCTTTCTATTTTGTGCTAATTGACGAGTTAGGGCACATATCTGTTTTTACAAATCGCCTCCAAAAAAGTCTTGTAAATTGTGAAATTACCCACGAATGTGTCCCGAAAGTGTCAATAACGTGTGCGGATGTTAAAATTTTTTTTTTAAAAAAGGGACACTCTCTGCTGCGTGTCGGACACGTGTCAACCGCGTGTTGGACGCGTGTCCATGTCCGACACTGGTACGGAGCCTTCGGAGAGGTGTCCGTGCTTCATAGGGGCCAGGTTTGCTGCAGATATGTATATACACACAGGCGTATAGCATGTGTAACTCACACATTGAATCCCCATCAATTGTGTGCATTAGTCCAGCAGTTTTGCAGGAGTAAAGGGTATTAGTTGCCAGTTTTCATGTCTAAAAGGTTACTCCTCTCTTCCCAATTGTGTATAAAAGAAGGCCCATCTCCCTTGGATTCAATACATAAATTTTGCTCTCAGATTATTGTCAAGTCAGTCTCCTCTTATAATTTTCTTCCTATGTTAAGAGAGTGCTGCCATTGTGGGTTCGCCAAAGATAACAGTAGGTGTTTCTGCGTTAGCTGGTCTAAATCGTCATATCCTAAGAGACAGAAGTTGACGTTCCTCCAGCACCCACAGTGAGACAACTAATCTGTTTTAAGGACAATGTGGTATCACAGGTTTCGGGTTGCGCTTCTTTTCCTTATTTTTTGTTATATGTATTTCTATTCATTGAGTTGTATGGTGTAATCTCTTGAATTCTTTTCTTGTAAATCAATTTCATTTTATATGAATCTGTTGGTTTTTTTTTTTTTTTACACAATTTGTACAACAATCTTAAAACAGATTAATTATATTTTTCCATGAATCATGAAATTAGATGATTAGATTCATCTTTAATTCAAATTGCCCGTTTTAGTACCTGGGAAAATATCATATGTTTGGTTTATGATTTTTTGGGTGATGGCACTGTTTGTCTTATATACAGTTCATGATTTAATATATATGCATGTGATTTGCTTTGGTACAAATTCAATTTGCTTTATTTATCACCGGCATGCGTAGAATAAAACTATAATAATAATAATAATGTGCCCAGTTTTTTTTTGGTGTCCGTTTCTTGTATGCAGCATATGGGACCTGCCCAGAACTTATATGGACTTCTATTGGTAGTCTTGGTTGGAATATTATATTATTATAAGTTGCATGCTACTGTTTTTCCTTCTCATTGCCTACTGTTGCAATTCAATTTATTAAATAATTGTTTCAAGTTGATTGCTTCCAGGTTTATAATATGATTTGCATGTCTTTTCATGTTGTCATGTTCTGATTTAATCTGCATGCTCATGAGTGTGATAGTTTTACTTTTCTAGTTTAATTCCCTTGGTTATTAGATCCTACATTTGTAGGACTATTTGCATGGTTTAATTTTGCTAGAATTTAGTTGATTTTACAAGTTTTAGTTTTCAGGAATGTAATGTAATTTGCATGCGCCTTGTTTTCTAATTTCTGGCATTAGGTGCATGAATTAATTACATGTTTATTGTGTAGTAATTGCATATAATTCTTGTTGTTTCATTTTAATTTAATTCTTAGAGTTATAGTTTTATTTTGTAACTCTTGCCAATTAAAAGTATTAATTGTATATTTATTTACGTGATTATTGTGTTATAATTTCATATAACTCTTGTTAATTAATTTTATTTAATTTTTAGAGTTATAAGGTTTATAATTTATTTGGGAGTTATAAGTTTAATTGTATAACATGTCTAGCATTTTAATTTTACTTAATTTTGCTATTTAATTAATTTATTGCTTTTACAGTTTCATTCAATTATTAGCTTTGTATTTTGTTGTGGTTTTCTACTAACTTCCTTTGCAGGCACACCTATGCAAAAGGGAATGAAAACAAAAATACAAATCCGAATGAATAGGATTTGGGATTGTAAAACAAAATTATGGACTACTAACCTTTTTGAACAGAAATACCTAAGCGAGGAAAGGAGTTTAGAGAATCGATAATCCAATTTGGATTGGTTTACATTTGTTGAGTGAAGCAATTTTTTGCTTGGGTTTCGTTGGTTTTTACCAATTGTGTAAAAGTAATTTTTATTTGCTTGTATTGTTAAAAGCTATGAAGCACGGGTGCGGGTGCGGGTGCGGGTGCGGGTGCGGGTGCGGGTATGAGTACGGTACGGGTACGAGTGCGGGTACGCCGATACGGCAAAATTCCAAAAAAGTAGGATACGGGTACGGCTGCGGTACGCCGATATTTTTTTATTTATTTTTATTTTTTTAGCCTTGGCTAAAGAGTAGTCCTTATTTGTTTAGAAATGACAACTAAGACGGATATGGTTCCAAACCTTCAGGATTTGAGGAAGTCGTTGGGTTTAATCATTTTTTTCTCAAAGTGTTGGAAAACTAAGTTGGAGAAAGTCTTTGGTTATAATCTGATGATTTCCAAAGTGTTTTGGTTTTATATCTGATTATTTCCAAAGTGTTTTGGTTTTAAGAAAAGAAACCAAATTTTAGCATTAGTTAAAATATTTCTGATTTTTATTCAGAAATCATGGACTCAGTTTCGGGTGTACCGGTTAACTTTTATGAGTGGTGTAATTATGGCAGCAAATTTTTTTTGTTTGGGAATTGGTTTGTTTTAACTTGGTTTATTCCTTGGAAAACTTAATTCTAAATTTGTTTCTCATGGATTAGGAGTCAACATGTTTTTGAAAATTTTGTCTAAGGTTAACTGGGTCTTAAGTGGGACCAGTGGGACCCCTCCAGCTTTGTTGGAAACTTTCCTGACCATATTCGATTCTAGGGTAAGTGATGAGATCAGTTTTGAATTAAATTTCAAACTTTGGATTTTCTAGTGTTAAGTTTAGTGTATGGAAAAAAAGAATAGTGAAATTCTGTTGTGATTTTTTTGAAATGACTTCAAGAGGTGACAATAGAAATGTTGTTCCACCTGCCAACTTTAAGCTTTGCGAGGTTCTTAAAGGAAGATCTATAGTCTAATTAAAGGAAATCATAAGATTGTATAATAATATCTCTAAATTAATCAGAGGCAATTAGTATGTTATCCTTGTGTTAATTATAGCATATATGATTTTTATGTGACTTTGCTTGAAAGCAAAGATAAGACAACCAGTTAGGGTGGGTGAATATATTTTTAAATTTCAAATATATTCTTAAATTGGTGGCTCATAGTGAGTACAAGATCACTGATCACAGAGATAGAAAAGTGGTAGTTCCTAGGAGGTGTTAGACAACTAGCTACACAGTTTCCTAGTGGAGAATAGATTACTGATCACATATCAAGACATGATGGTTCCTAGTAGTGGAGAAGCTATTGACCATATGTCAAGACATGATGATTCCGAGTAATGAAAGTGTCTATTGATCCTATGTCAAGACGTTGTGATTCCTAGCAGTAAAGTGACTACTGATCACAGGTTAAAATATTGTGATTTCCAGTAGTAGAAAGTCTACTGACCATGTTATGAAATTCCGAATAGTAGACTATTGAACAACTGGATTTGTGTTTCCTAATAGTAAGACTTTTTTGCTTCATAGTAATAGGTTGGACCAAATATGTTTGGGTGCCTAATCCGGTTAATGACATTCTGGGAATGTATTTACTGTGATATGATTCTGAGAGTTTCATAATCATTGTGACACAAGGAATTGTTTAAAGACCCTGTATGAATTTTTGAAAAAAGGCTAAAAGTCTTTGTATAAATTCTACAAATGTGGAGGTGTCATGCAAAAAGTGATAATACCTAAACCCAAGAGGGTTAGGATAAGCCTAAAAATCCGTTGATTTTGTATTCAACGGTTTTGCACAATATAGCAGTGCATATCGATTTCTTGTGTTTAAGTCTGCTATTCCAGATATACACAAGAATACTATCATGGAATTCATAAATGCATCTTTCCTTGAAAATGTATTCCCTTGTCGCATCCAAGAAGGGGTTCCGAGTTCCATGAAAAAGGTTGAAGGTGACAATGATCACATAGATGATCAAGTTAAGGAAGTAGATGAGCCAAGAAGGAGAGAAAGGGCTAGGACCGCAAAATCCTTTAGTTCGGACTTCTTGACTTATATGTTAGAGGGAGAATCTCGAACTTTTTATGAAGTTGTGACTTCATCTGAAAGTCTTTTGTGGAAAGAAGCAATTAAGAGTGAGATTGACTCCATCTTACAGAACCATACTTGGGAGTTGGTTGATCTACTCTCAGGCAGTAAGGCCTTGGAGAGCAAGTGGATCTTTAGAAGAAAGATGAAAGTCGATAGATCAATTGATAAGTATAAAGCTAGGCTAGTTATCAAAGGATACAGGCAATGAGAAGGTCTGGATTACTTTGATACGTATTCACCTGTGACAAAGATTATATTCATTTGCATGGTGATTGCGATAGCAGCTTTAAGTGGTCTGAAGATACATCAGATGGATGTAAAGACAACTTTCTTAAATGGAGATTTGAATGAAGAAATCTACATGTAGCAACCCGAGGGATTTTCAGCTCTAGGATAAAATAAGAAAGTCTATAAGCTTGTCATAACATTGTATGGTTTGAAGTAAACTCCTAAGCAATGACATAAGAAGTTTGACAACGCTATGTTGTCAAATGGATTTAGAATCAGTAAGTGTGACAAAAGCATATATGTTAAAGACACTGATAGAGGTTATGTCATTTTGTTTCTATACGTTGATGACGTACTTACTGTTAGTAGTAATGATGAAATGATTAGAACTACCAAGAGATTGTTAAACTCCAAGTTTGACATGAAAGATATGGGTCTTGTAGATATCATTTTAGGTATTAAGATTACCAGAACATCTAGTAGTATTATACTTTCTCAGTCTCACTATATTTAGAAGATACTTGAGAAATTTAGTAAATCAGATACAAGTGTGTCTAGGACACCGGTAGACGTGAGTATATTTGATCAAGAATAATGGTGAGAGTGTCTCTCAGTTAGAATATTCTCGGGTTATTGGAAGTTTGATATATCTGATGAGTTGTATAAGGCCGAATATAGCCTACTCTATTAGCAAGCTTAGTAGATACACGAGTAATCCGAATGTTACTCATTGGAGGGGTATTATGCGAGTGTTAGGTTATCTACACTAAACCTGGGATTATGGGCTGCATTATACCAGATATCCAACGGTACTAGAAGTGTATAGTGACGCTAATTGAATATCTGATATAAAGGACTCTAAATCCATTAGTGGTTATGTGTTTACCCTCGTAGGGATAGCCGTGTCTTGGAAATCATCCAAGCAAACGTGTATATCGAGATCAACAATGGAATCCGAGTTTATTACTTTGGATAAAGCAACTAAATAGCTTTCCTAATTCGTTGAGGATATTTCACATTGGCCGAAACCTGTGCCAGCTATCTGTATTTATTGTGATAGCCAATCGGTAATTGGACGGGCATAGAGTCATATGTATAATGGAAAGTCTAGACATATCCGTCGTAGACATAATTCCATACGACAACTACTCTCTAATGGAGTTGCCTTTCTAGACTATGTAAAGTCTAAGGACAACGTTGTGGGTCCGCTAACCAAAGGGTTAACTCCAGAGTTAGTAGAAATGTTGTCAAGAAGAATCGGGTTAAGGCGTTTAGTAATGTTATCGGAAGGGAAAACCCAACCTAGTTGACTGGAGATTCCAAGATCTAGGTTCAAAGGGACAATCTAATTTCGTGTAACGGGTGAGTCATTGAAGAGATAAATCCTCTTATCTATTCCTTTGTACAGTGATACCTTATAGGGGTAGAAGGTTAAGCTAATACTTTTAATGACCTAAGTGATATGAATAATTAATCGTGGTATAACGGGAAATCTTATATAGGTCCCTTATGTGAGTTCAAAGTGGGGTCGCTTCTTTAAGAATTGTTAAGGCCGAATTCTTTAAAACAACTCATTGAACTAGGCTAGTGTTCCAAGGCCATACCGAACACACCAGTGAAAACAAGAACAATGGTTGAACTAACTTCTGTGTGAGGTCTATTGTCATGGTTTACACAAATGGCAGAACAGTTCAAGACCTTACGTTCATTGGTCAGCCAACAAATCCGATAAGCTTTCACTACGAAATGTTCAAGGCCAACAGCTACCTTTTCTGATGCAGGGTTAGTCTGCGTGTTCTCTCTCCTAGTCTTTGTTGTAAATGTTGTCCGTTTTCTTTATTCAGTCAATTTTTATTCATGTAGGGGATTGTTAGAAAAAATGATTTTTTGGTGATTTTAATGTGAAATTAAAGTATGTCTCAACCATTGGTTGATGTGTGATTAAATGGGTTTAGATTCTTTGTAACAAGGCCTTTACACTACAAAAAGAATGACAAAAAATCATTAAGAATTGAGTGAGAAATTGTCTCATAAAATTGACCTCATGAAGAGGTATTGGGAATTGTGTATAACTACCAATCCCACATTGATCGTAGAGGAAAGTTTTAATGGGTATTTAAATCTCAAAATTTTGATAAGGGCGTGAGCTCTTTGGGGCATCCAAATTTTTCGAAGGAAGAGAGTTATGGACACTTCAAGGATGGGCTTGTGGTCCAAGTTGGTTATGGAAAAATTGCCACACCTGCGTGCGCAGTCTGCCTGCCCGGTCTGGGTCGAGTCCGGGACCCGTGGATCTTGGATCTTGGGCTTGGGCTTGTGGCTTGTTGAAATGAGTTAGGTTTGGGCCGAGCTGGATTGGTGGTTTACCAACCTAATCTTTTTAGGCCAGGTCTGCTGCAGATATGTATATACACACAGGTGTATAGTGTGTGTAACTCACACATTGAATCCCCATCAATTGTGTGCATTATTCCAGTAGTTTTGCAGGAGTAATGGGCATTGGTTGCCAGCCTTCATGTCTGGAAGGTTACTCCTCTCGCCCCCATTGTGTATAGAAAGAGGCCCATCTTCTTTGGGTTCAACACAGAAATTTTGCTCTCAGATTATAGTCAAGTCAGTCTTCTCATATAATTTTCTTCTTGTGTTGAGAGAGTGCTGCCATTGTCGGTTCGCCAAAGCTAACAGAAGGTGTTTCTACGTTAGCCGGTTTAAACCGTTGTATCTTGAGAGACAGGAGTTGGCATTCCTCCAGCACCTACGGTGAGGCAGCTAATCTGTTTTAAGGACATTGTGGTATCATACAGGTTTCGGTTTGCATTTCTTTTCCTTATTTTTGTTATATATATTTCTGTTCATTGAGTTGTATGGTGTAATCTCATGATTTATTTTCTTGTAAATCAATTTAATTTCATATGAATCTGTTTGTTTTTTTTTTACACAATTTGTACAACATGTATCACATACAATAATAATTGGAGTGACCATTGCTTTACACGTAATCAAGATGATTCGAATGAAACTTGTTTTTTGCTTAATTAAACTTGTATCCACCCCCATTAAATCTTAATTCTACTGGACCGTGTCATCTTGAACTTGGTTGGTTGATATTTTGAACTTCGAATATTTCCCTAATGCAATGCAACAGCCACCTTCATTGAAATTCTTCATCCTACATAAAATTTGACATCAAAGCCAATGTTCTTTCTTGGAAAACCAATTGTTGTAGCCCCTAAGTGGGTTGAGAGGAGAGTTCCGAGCTAAAAGACCCGTAAAGAGATGATTGATAATAGCCATCGATGATCAAATAATAGATTCCATTGAAGAAGTAACAAAACCTAGAACAAGATGGAGCAGCAAAAAGCACAACAATTGAATTGGATAGTATGTATTGGGAAAGCAAGTTGTAGGAGCAAATGCTGAAACCCCGTTTCATTGTCAAGCTCAACTATTACTGACTTTGGACTTTAGAACCAGTGTTTTAAAAGGTGTGCTTAGGCACACACCTAAGCGCGAGGCGCAACCTTGCGCTGCAAACAAGTTGTGGTGAGGTGCAATATGCAAGGCGCAGCTTAGGCGCTGAGGTGAGGGCTTTTTTTGGAGACGCAAAGCGTGGGCTTCGTGGATTTCATGGGCTTTATCTATTTTTCTACTCCTACTGTGCTTTTTATATCTTTTTTGAATTGCAAACTAGACACTTAATTGTTTTGAATTTTATTTGGATGATTTTAAAACTTGAGGTTTTTGGTGGATGTGAATGTGAGACTATATCTTTAGTTAGATATTATATTTCTAATTTTTAGAAGAATGAATGTTATGTTTATCAATTATTTGCAATGGTGAAACTTGCTTTACTGTTTTCGGAATTCTATATATATTTGTTATGTTGAAAAATTTGCCTATTTTATAATTTTACTTTTCTTCTACTACTTGCGCCTTGGTGCGCTTAAAGCCTTTTAAAACACTGTTTAGAACCAAAATATGGTCTTTCTTAATAGAAGATGTGATTGTACAACAGTTGAAGTATAGGTCTGCTGCATATTTAGATTGTAGACTATCTAGCATTGTGTACACCTTAGAACCATAGAAAGCCTGCAAACATAATAACTCTAGTACTTAGCTTATAGAAACCATATATTGTAATAAGTTAATAACATCTGGATTATACAATGTTTTTCTTTGTAGAATTGCATATTTCATAAAAAATAAAAATAACTTCACGCTCTTAATGAAAAGGTTTGTTTGTCAAGTATTTTCTCTTCACCCCACATGTAAAAGAGGTTTATTACATATATTTTAGAATTTGGATGTTCTTGATTATCTACATTTTTTGGGGAGGCTTTTTTTTTTTTTTTTTTAATTTTTTATTTCTATTATTTTATTTTTAAATCTTTATCTTTTTAATCTTTAGGATTTGGTTGTGATACTGAAGCTGTGATCAATATTGTTGCCCATCGTGATTCAACACAACGTGCTCTGATCCAACATGAGTACAAAGCTATGTATTCTGAGGACCTTCTTAAACGATTGACTTCAGAACTTCATGGAAAATTGGAGGTATTAATTCCCCCTTTCCCTGGCACTACCCTTGAAATTTAAAAGCTTTCCCTCTCATGCTTCTTGTTTTAGTTAAACACATAGAGACTGATTTCTCCCCCTTCCTCAAGTTTGCATCTTGTAAAATCTCTTCTATGTGTCAGACAGCGGTTTTGCGTTGGATGCATGATCCAGCAGGACGTGATGCAATTATATTAAAGCAAGCATTAAGTAGTGGCTCCACTAATCTTGAAGCTGTCACTGAAGTACTATGCTCTCGGACACCATCCCAGCTTTACACCTTGAAGCAAATCTATTATTCAATGTTTGGGGTTTACCTTGAGAATGATATTGAACAGCTAACCTCAGGTGATCATAAGAAGGTAGTCCCTCTCTCTGCTGTGTGTTTGTGATTATTGGATTTAGCATTATCATAAACAATGTGCTAGAAACATACAGCATAATTGCCCATTTCAGTAACTTACAGGGATTTTATTGCTAGCCTTCTTGACAAAAAAAATAAAAATAAATAAATAAATAAAATTGGGTATTTCATCCATGTTTTGTTGTTTTGGTTCACAGGCTTGTGTTTAATTTTTTTTGTGGGATAATATATATATTGGCAAATAAGAAGCAGAATAAATATTTATACCTCAACTACTACTACTTGTATATATATTTATTTTAAATTTATTTCTTTGTTGAAAAGGAGTTAGAAATCTATTGCTAATCTCGTTGTTCACCTGCACATGTATTTGCTAAATGAAATCAATTAAACTCGAACATCGAACTGGATCTCTTTGGTTATCATAGCAGCATCTCTGATTTCTCCTCAGGTCTTTGAGACTACAAATATTCTTCTCCTGCCAATTATAGCTTTTCATCACATGGAAAGCAGAGTTTTATTTACCTATATATAGATATATGTTTATACATATGTGTACACATGAACACATATATTTCCAGTGTTACAGATTTCCCCCCTTTTTTCTTTCAAGGGAGGAAATTGAGAGTCTGACTTCTTGATGTGAAATACTCGTTGCAGCTTTTGCTGGCTTACGTAACCACACCACGCTCTGAAGGCTTCGAAGTTGATAGAGAGATGGTTGAAAGGGATGCTAAGGCTCTCTTTAAAGCAGGGGAGAAAAAATTGGGAACTGATGAGAAAACTTTTATACGCATTTTTAGTGAACGAAGCAGGGCACATTTGGCTGCTATAGATTCTTCTTATCATAACATGTATGGGAACTCACTGAAAAAGGTAATTTGTTCTTAATGTCGTCACCGTCCCTTTGTATCTGAAATTCTTGTTATGATTTTTGACAAATTGAGATAATTACAGGCTGTAAAGAGTGAAACTTCAGGGCAATTTGAGCTTGCCCTTTTGACAATCCTACAGTGTGCACATAATCCTGCAAAGTACTTTGCAAAGGTATTTATCCAGTCTTTAAGTTTTTTTTTTCTTATTAATTTAATTAGGACTTCTTAGGATGCGTACATATATGGCTTTATGTAATAGTTTTAGGGACTAGACTATCATTTGAGTCTTGAACAACTGGTTTTTGAGATATTGACTTGGGATTGTGACTTCCCAAATTTTTCGTTCTTCAACAATACTTCTATGCAACGCCACTAGTGCATAATATTTTCTCAATTTCATTTTTGGTCAAGGCAATATGCAATATATCTTTACTTTTTGTGATGGGATTGTAGTTCTCACAACATATGGAGTACAGAATTTTCTTTTTAACATATAAAGGCTCTTTTGTTTTGATTGCTGTGTTTGTGTTTGTGTTTTTTTTTTTAAATTTTTATTTTCCTTCCATATATATATATATATATATTAACTAATATGATCCATCATGGGGATTCAAGTTCAATCCATTGATAACTACTCTGGAACATTACAGGTATTACATAAGGCGATGAAAGGATTGGGAACTGATGACACAACACTTATAAGAGTTATCGTGACAAGAACCGAGATTGATATGCAATACATTAAAGCCGAATACCAGAAGAAATACAGGAAGTCATTGAATGATGCGGTTCACTCAGAAACATCTGGTCACTACAGGAGCTTTCTTCTTTCTCTGCTGGGTCCAAACCATTAGGCTTGTGATGGTTGTGTTTATAAATAAAGCACTTTAAAATATATATATACACATTTGCATGTGTAATATGTATACTATGTTTGGAGTGTTGAACTTAATGGTTTTAGATTTGCAGTTTCTTTAGTGGTGTGATGGGTGAGGCATATTAGGGTTGTGTACGGATTGGATTGGATTGTCTATTTGGAGAAAATATCACTCGTACTACTCTTGGTAAATCGAGAAATTTCTAATTAAGAATTTTATTATTCCAACAGGTTAGTTGAAAGTAACTCATAATTTCACTTTGATAGTGTTTGATTTATTAGAATTAAGATAAAATGAAATGATCATTTCATGAGAATGTTCATTCTCAAATTTGATTTACTCCAAAAAATAATGAAAATATATTGCAGATTAATTTATTTATTTTCGAATCCATTCCTACTGCCTTGTACTACTTTTCAATCCAAGACATTAATTTGGCAAGTTATGGTATTGCAGAACACTGTCTAGTGCGAGTGTTATTCCAACAAGAAATATTGTTTGTAGGCTGTTGTAATGGGATTAAAGAAAATTGAGTTTAGTGCTTGTTTATAGAGTACTCAAGTCTTTTAATTGAGCGATCTTTTTAACTTGAATATTGTTTTTTATTGTTATCATTCTGTTGGTGAAAATTATCAATTTGAAGTTTTTTCTATCAACCATTGAAAAGAGGAATTTATGTTTATTTATATTTGATTTCTTGAATTACTTAGAAGAGTATTCCAAAATATAAGTACACATTTTCGAAGTTCATAATGTTCTTTGGCACAAGTCTCTTTAATGAATTAGTTTCAATACTTGTAAGAGTCCCGACAACCTTTAGCCAGAATCTGTACAACTATGGAAAAGCTTACAAATATATCAATGTGTCAAAAAAATTTATCAAGAAAATTTTCCAAAAAAATAAGTCAATGAACTGCAATCATAGTGCGTACATCTCAATAATTTTAAATTTATAACATACATTCCAAGCTCGGGTAAGTTTCATGGTATGTTTTTATGGTCTTTGACATTTTTTATGCAAAAAGAGCACACAAATCATGTTAGTGTTGATTTTTAGATTAAAGAATTGTTTGAGAATAGATTATTTTAATAATTTTATGAAAAAATATACAGAAAAATAAAAAAATAATGTGATTCAAAAAAGATAAAATAACAATAAATATATTATTTTAGTAGGTTGCCCTAAAAGACTTCCAAAGAAGATATTGCATAAGAAACGTCTTGGTAAGTACAGTGTGAGAAATAAAATGAAGTTGTTTCTCAACTATTCAATCTGATTCCACACGGTTGAGGACTTATTGGGCAATATAATAAATAAACTATTTATTAATTTATTTAGGTTATATTATTTTTTTATTTTTTTAACATATCTTTTCGTAATAAGCAAAAAAAAAATCAACTTATAAATTATACCCCAAAATAACCCTGGGTCTAAACTTGAAACTCCCCTTTAAATTCTACGTCTGAAATTTGAACTGAGAGTATTGTAATATGCTTGAAACAAAATATAATCGGAGCCTAATGATATAATATATAATAAATCATATTTAATTATTTCAAACACAACAAAAAAAAATGAAAAGTCTACAGATCCACCCTTATCTATCAAGAAAATTCTAAATAGGTGATTGTATAGTGAAAATTAATTTGTGTAGTATAAGGTCCATGTAGAATGTGGTAGAGATTAATTTTTGAATAATTTGTCAACTGATAAAGATAAGTTTGTACTATTATTCCCAAAAAAAAAAAAAAAATGAAGAAAAAAAAGTATACCTTCTACATATACTTCTTCCATGTCCTTTAAGCAATGAGATATCAAGTGAGTTGTACTTCACTAATGGAAAATAGATTGGGAGAATTACACTCACACGATGTTAGTGATAAATAATTACAGATAAATGAAAATATTATTAATATTTATAATTATAATTATAATTTTTTGGTAAATAACTTTTCTTGCCCCCACCGTTGGATAGAGAGAAAAAATTATAAAAATATAGCATGCAAGTCATTTTGGGATGGAATGTAAGTAAAAAACTAAAGCCATGTTTGTGTTTTTTTTTTTTGTTCCACTTTGTAATAATATCTCCATTTTTTTATGAGTAATATGCGAAATTATCATTATCAATCCATAAATTATTTAAAATTTTTATCTTGTGATTTATATTTACTTTACGTATGGACGGTATACTACACAAATAATCTCTATCATGCAATCACTCGCTCAATTTTCTGAGTAGATTAATATAAATCGGTAACTTTGCTCTATTTTTATTAATGTGGGATCCAAATAATAAGAAAATTGCTTCTATTTCTCTAGTTTAGGGGAAATTATTCTGCCTCAACTAAGTTGTAATCAATTTGATTGATTATTTTATATAATTTATAAGAGAGAAAATAAGAAATATTGGATATATAATTAATAGAATTGTAAGGATACATTATGTAAGATACGAAACGAATCTATGTAATAATTTTTCCTAATTTAGGTACTAAGGTCTCACTTGAAAATTAGTTATTTTAGTTAACCTTTTAAAATTTTATAAAAAAATATATAAAAAAGTAAAAATTATATAATAATTTATAATAATTTTATGACTTTTTAACTAGTCTCCAAACGCTGTCTTTGACATGAAGATAAGACTTATGTCATATTCCAATCAGACTTTTTTTTATAATTTGGCGTACTTTAATTGGTTCGTTCTACCAAATCTGATTGTTGACCTTGTACTCTTTTTTTAGAGCCGGAGACCTTGTACTCAAAGAATAATTTTCCCGAACTAACTACTACGCTGACTGACTCAGCTTGTATATGCGAACATTTGTAATAATTTCTCTATTTTTTTATGAGTAATATGCGAAATTATCATTATCAATCCATAAATTATTTAGAATTTTTATCTTGTGATTTATATTTACTTTACGTATGGACGGTATACTACACAAATAATCTCTATCATGCAATCACTCGCTCAGTTTTTTGAGTAGATTACTCTAAATCGGTAACTTTGCTCTCTTTTTATTAATGTGGGATCCAAATAATAAGAAAATTGCTTCTAAATCGGTAACTTTGCTCTCTTTTTATTAATGTGGGATCCAAATAATAAGAAAATTGCTTCTATTTCTCTAGTTTAGGGGAAATTATTCTGTCTGAGCTAAGTTGTAATCAATTTGATTGATTATTTTATGTAATTTATAAGAGAGAAAATAAGAAATATTGGATATATAATTAATAGAATTGTAAGGATACATTATGTAAGATACGAAACGAATCTATGTAATAATTTTTCCTAATTTAGGTACTAAGGTCTCACTTGAAAATTAGTTATTTTAGTTAACCTTTTAAAATTTTATAAAAAAATATATAAAAAAGTAAAAATTATATAATAATTTATAATAATTTTATGAAAAATTAAAAATTATGTAATAATTTATAATAATTTTGTGACTTTTTAACTGGTCTCCAAACGCTGTCTTTGACATGAAGATAAGACTTATGTCATATTCCAATCAGACTTTTTTTTCTAATTTGGCGTACTTTAATTGGTTCGTTCTACCAAATCTGATTGTTGACCTTGTACTCTTTTTTTAGAGCCGGAGACCTTGTACTCAAAGAATAATTTTCCCGAACTAACTACTACGCTGACTGACTCAGCTTGTATATGCGAACACGTGTTATTATTATTATTATTATTTTAATATCTTAAATTTTTAATATCTTAAATTTTACTGAGTATATTCCAGTACTTGCAGCCAAAAAACATAAGAAAATTTTAAATTTATCTATTTTAATTTTTTATAAATTATTTAACCTAATCAAATGTGTATATATATATATATATTTTTGTCAATTTACTTTTAAACATTTTCATTTTCATTTTTCTTCCTAATTAAACAAACCGTATAAGTTTTCAATAATGTTTACATTTTAATATATTATTTTATAGAACAATGCTTGGGACCGCCTTTTGGGGGTCACCCCCTCACCCCCTTTGCCACGTGGCGGGTGGTGATTGGAGGAGCAGGAAAAAAAAAAGAAAAAAAAAATGAAAAAGAAAATGTAACCAATGAGAGAGAGAAGAGGTCAAAGGGGGTGGGAGGAAAAGGGGGGATGAATCATTGTTGTATTTTATATTGCTTTAGGGGACAAAATTCATGTAATGCTCCAATTTGAATTTGATTAGATAAAATAGTGAATTTCACTAGTTTTGTGTGTCTTCTTTGAAGAGATATATCTTAAATGGTGTGGTGGAATAATACTTGAGGATTGCTAAATAATTTATCTATAATTATAATCATTAGATATTAATGCAACTTATGTGTTACTCATTAGATTAATGGTTGTAATTGTTTTACATAACTAGATATCAATTATTTTTAAATATTTATGTATTCTATAACAAATCACTTATAATTATTTAAAATAATTTTGAAATTTTCACACTTTCAAATTTTCATATAGTTTAATAGCCATAAGTAAATTTGGATAAAGATATGGCAACATCAGCAGAATCATGAGATTTTTAACCCTTTGATTCTTTGCTTGTTAATTATTTTCCAAAAATTAAAATTAAAATCTCAAAATTTAACTGCATTAACAAATCAAATCTTAACATTTTAATTATTTAAATTTAAACTCTAAAATTTTAAAATAGTATCAAGTCCAAACTAATGAAAAAATATCAATTTAGATAATTTAATCACTTTTCCTCCCTTTATTACTATTTACAATGACCTCACTCGCAACTAGGGGTGGAACTTGGGCGGACTCAACCCGAGCAACCTGAACATAGCCCGAATTTTTTTAGAACTTGAACAAGATATTTTCAAATTTGGTACGGCCTTAGGCAAAAATTCAGAAGCCCGAATTAAATTTGGACGGGCTTGGGCAAAGATATCAAACAACCCGAACAACCCGAAACCTGAATTGTACATATATAGATATATAAAAATATCAAATATATATATATATATATAAATTATTAGCCATTACATGATATTAAAGTAATTTAGATTATTAAATCATATTGAATATATATTATATATACAAATAACATAAAATCTTACTCTTTTATTTATTTATTTTTATTTTCACTCATAAATTGTAAAGGCTACTATAGCAGCATCTCTCTTGCATTATATAAATTATTTGTTTTGATGGTATTAATGATTTTCTATTTTGATGATATTAATGATTTTCTACATATAAAAAAAAATGTAAATAGAGTCAATTTTTAATAATTTAATAATGTAGTTAAAAAAAAAAAAATACAATTCGGGCAACTTGAGTTTAACTCGGGTCGATCTTGGGTAGACAGTCTCGGGTTACAATTCAGGCTTGGGTAGATCTCAACACAACTTAGGCTGGGCTTGGACAACCTTCTAATCCGACTAAATTCGCTCGAGTTGCACCCCTACTTGTAGCATTGTCTATCATTAGCTATTATCTTCCCCAATAATGATAGATAGCTCTAATTTTGAAGCTCTAAAAATAGTTTTAATGATGTGGCAAGTGACCAAAAAAAAAAAAAATAGGCACACAGATCACATCACATATGGACTCCACTCCTTGTCATATCACTAGAGTTCTCTTTAGTGTTCTAAAATTAAAACTTCTATCTTTATTTTTATCTTCCCAAACCCACTATTATTGATCCATCATTTTTTTCATTATTATTCATTTTCTTTTTTAACTCACTACCACTTCTTTTATTTATTTCTTAGTCCATAATCAATACGATTGTTTAATATCATTGACAAAAGTTAATTAAATTATCTAAATTTCTCCGATTTGCTAAGGAATAGTTAGGATTGATTCCATTTAAAAAATTACGATTTTGAACTAAAACAATTACAAAAATTAGAGTGTGATTTGTTTTAAAAAAAATTATTTTTGTAATGTTCGGATTATTTTTCTTATTTTCAAAAAATAATATCGTACACGCGGAACCGTATATCTCCCCGCAGAGCCTCGTGCGTGCTCAGGTGGGACCTGTTGTTGGTCATTTGGTGGTGGAATAAGTCTTTTTATTTTATTTTATATTTTATGATCATTACTTTCAAAAAGAATAAGTTATAAATATATTTTTGAAATTTATTTAAAATATAAATTACTTATTTGATAAATTATAAATATTTTTTTATCAGAATTTTTTATTTAAAAATGAAAATTTTAACTTATTTCTTGTACAATAATAAAATTACATAAATTATTAATAAAATTTTAATATCATTAAAAATTTATAATTGATTTAACAATTTATTAATAAATGGATAATTTATTATGAAATTAAAAAAATAAAATATAATTTTTAAAATTATAAAAAATTATACTTTAAATAAATCTTAAGAGATATATTTATAATTTATGACTTGAAAAAATGATGGGCCATTCAAAGAATACAACCCGAATATATCTTGTTTGGGTGTATTAATAAGTACACATTTTTTATTTTTTTTTAAGTCATATCACTATTATATTTTCTTACATATCTTTTTGTAAAAAATCAAAAAATACACTTATTTAGATCATTTCAAATCAACAGAAAGAATTATCTTGTCTTTTAAAAATTTTTATTTTTGTAATGTTCGGATTATTTTTCTGATTTTAAAAAAATAATATATCGTACACGCGGAACCGTATATCTCACCACAGAGCCTTGTGTCGTGCGTGCTCAGGTGCACCAAGGATCCTCTAGAGTGAAATTTTTTTAAAGTTTCATAGAGTGTTACATTGTGTGGTTGAGATTTACTGGCAAGTCACATCAATTTTTCTGATGTGACTTGCCAGTAAATCTCAACCACACAATGTAACACTCTAGGAAACTTTAGAGAAAAATCACTTTAGAGAATCCTTGCTCGCTCAGGTGGGACCTGTTGGTCATTTGGTGGTGGAATCAGTCTTTTTATTTTATTTTATTTTATATTTTATGATCATTACTTTTAAAAAGAATAAATTATAAATTTATTTTTAAAATTTATTTAAAATACAGATTGTCTCTTAAATTTTAAAAAATTATAAATAATTTTTTATCAGAATTTTTTTATTTAAAATTAACTTAAAAAATGAAAATTTTAATTGAATAAATAATAAAATTACTTGAATTATTAATTAAAATAAAATTTTAATATCATTAAAAATTTATAATTGATTTAACAATTTATTAATAAATGGATAATTTATTATGAAATTAAAAAAATAAAATATAATTTTTAAAATTATAAAAAATTATACTTTAAATAAATCTTAAGAGATATATTTATAATTTATGACTTTAAAAAATGATGGGCCATTCAAAGAATTCAACTGGAATAACTTGTTTGCAAAAATGCTTTAGAGCTCTAATGGGAATGTGGGACCCACTCTGATGGGATGTTTGTGCCTTGCCTTGTTTTTTTTTTTTTTTTTTTTTTGGACACATCACTAGAGCTCAAATTAGAACTCTAGATTTAGAGCTCTCTAGCATTTCCCATCTTGTTTGGGGTACTAATAAATACCCACTTTATATTTTTTTATTTTTTTAGGTGATAAATTTTGGAAGAGCAGAGGCAACAAGAAGAACCAATTCCAGTCAAATTTGTCGAATTCAACGCTGCCAATAAAATCAAATCGCTATCTATCTATATCTATATTATAGCAAAAGGAAGTTTTTAATCTCAAACTTTGTGAGAGCTCTAATTTTTCAATCTAAATTTTTTAATTTTTTGATTTAAAAAAAAAATCTTAGCATTTATTAACTTCTCCCAACTTCCAAGTCTTACCCTCATAATAACACTTTAATGCATTAAGAACAAGCATAAAAAAAATTCTAACAAGCATAAAAAAAATTCTTTGAAATCCAACACATATGAATTCCTTGAAAAGTCCAAACACATATGCTTATTATCCCTCATAATAACACTTTAATGCATTAAGAACAAGCATAATTTTTTTTCCCAAAAGTCCAACACATATGATTATTACCAAAATATTAAACTTTAATATAATATAATAAATAAAAAAAGACATTTAATTCCTTAAAAAGTCCAACACATATGATTATTATCAAAATATTAAACTTTAATATAATATAAAAAAAGAAGACATTTAAAAAAAAAATTAAAAATTACAGTTCACATCTAGATAATTGTAAACACAATCCGTGCATAGCACGGGTGATATACTAGTTATATATTAAGTAAAAGGGGGGTTTTTAACTCTAAATTTTATAAAAACTTCAATCTTCCAATCTAAATTTCTTAATTTTTTGATTTAAAAAAAAAAAAAAACTTAGCATTTATTAACTTCTCCCAACCCCCAAGTCTTACCCTCATAATAACACTTTAAAGCATTAAGAACAAACATAAAAAAAAAATTCTTGAAAAGTCCAACACATATGATTATTATTAAAATATTAAACTTTAATATAATATAATAAAAAAAAGAAGACATTTAATTCCCTGAAAAGTCTAACACATATGATTATTATCAAAATATTAAACTTTAATATAATATAAAAAAGGAAAAAAAGAAGACATTAAAAAAAAAATGACATTTAAAAATCACAATTCACATATATAGATAATTGTAAATATATTAAGAAAAAAAGGGTTTCTAAACCCCAAGCCTTGTGAAAGTTCCAATCTCTCAATCTTAATTTTCTAAATTTTTGATTTAAAAAAAAGGGTCTAGCTTTAGTCCAGTCCACCATCGGATTGGACTATGTTGTTGGGCTCGTGGGGGCCTACCACGGGTCCCGTTTTAAAAATTTGAACCGCTTAATCTGTAAAACTCTTCGAGTACTATATGTCTGTAAAAAATCACGTTGATCGGATATCGATAGCTATGTGATCAAATCATTTTTGTATAAAAAAAATGGACGGTGAATAAATTAACGGTTGACAAAAAACTGATTTGATCACATAGTTATCGATATCCAATCAACATGATTTTTTACAGGCATATAGTACTAAAAGAGTTCTACACATTGAATGGTTTAGATTTTCAAAATGGGACCATTGGTGGGCTCCCACGGGCCCAACAGCATGGTCCAGTCCGAAGGTGGATTGGACCAAAGCCAGGCCCTAAAAAAAAACCACAGTATTTATTGATTTGATAAAAATTTCCTGATTAGAATTTATTAACTTTTTTCAATTCACATACCTGCATTTATTGATTTAGTCAAAATCTCTGATTAGCATTTAAAATCTACTCATACAAATAATTATAGATACAGTCCATACATAGTTACTGCAGTAGTTTTTTTAATTTCTCCTGTATATTATGGTTAGTGATAAGATTATTAAATTATTTTTATAAAAAAATTTAAAAAATATAATTTATATATTAAAAAAAATTAAAATAAATATAAATATTTATAATTATTCCGAACGGGTGATTGGCTTAGTTATTATAATAATATAAAGGGGGGAGGAGCATTAGGCAACAAGAAGAACCAATTCCACTCAAATTTTTCTTGGTCCTTGACATTGTCCTTCTACACACACAAGAACCACACGAGAGAGAGAGAGAGATAATGTCGACTCTAACAGGTCCTCCTGTTCCTCCTTCCCCTCGGGATGATGCTGTCCAACTCCACCGTGCTTTCAAAGGTAGGTATATATATATATATATAATTAACCCCCAATCACTCTCTAAATTTTATGATTTTTGATGATGGCTTTTTTGGTTCTAGTGCTTCATTCAACTGATTTACACATTTGACTTTAATTTTTTTTATAATTTATAATTTTGGTTTTGAGTTGTCTCTTTGTTAGTATATGATTATATCATCACTTGATTTGTTGATATTTACTTGTAGAATTCTCCTATTTACTTACATATGTTCCTTTCTCTCTGTCATGCCTCCATGTTTTATGATGAATTCATGGAAGAAAGAAACTTTTGTAGCTTGCCCCACTTGTAACCATCGATCTCAACCCTTAGTTTTTTTGTGGCAATGCTAATCAATTCACTAGACTCATGTCCTGTGGCGGAATTAGGAAATTAAATTAGAGGGGGACTTATTAACTACAACATTAAAAATTTTTACAAGAATGTTTCACATAAATTTTTACATTTAACTTCAAAATAATGTTATTTATATCTAGTGTATCATAGACGGTACAAAAAAAAGGTCATGGATATAAGTTTTAAAATAAATTATATAATGATAAAGTAATTTTTTTTACAAAATTTGAGTAAAAATTCAATATAATAGGCATATCAGGTTATCTTTGACATGTGATATTACCAACAAATAGTAAAAAACACATGGAGGATGAACCTCATATGTTAAATCCAATAAATTACATATTTTTATAGTGAGATTAATTATGTTTATATGTCAATAATGATAGACATCATCATCCCATTGAATTTTTTTCATAAAATTTTCATAGATAATAATATGGTTTATCACAATATCTTCATTTTCAATCAAAACAACCATTATTGTTCTCAAAATTTTAAAAATATCATTGAAATTTTACTCAAAATAATATTTTTGTAAATTTTTTTGTTTAAAATATTTTCTTTGTGTTTGCAAAAGAACATTTAAAAAAATCCAAAACCTAGGGGGCACGTGAGCCCTTCGTCCCTCTATACCTTCGTCCCTGCTCATGTATATATGTATTGCAATTTAATTTAATTTAATTATATATATTTTTATAGTTTTTTAATCAATTGATAGGAGAGAATTTACAACTATCATGATAATTATATCAAAAAGAGACATTCGTAACAAACCGAGGTAATGTATCACATTTGTAACTAGGGCAATAATCATTGGAGTGACTGTCACTTTACACGGAATCAGGATGATTCAAATGAAACTCGTTTTTTTGCTTTAATTAAACTTGTATCCATCTTGATTATATCTTAATTCAACTTGACCGGGTCATCTTGAACTTGGTTGATATTTTGAACTTTGAATATTTCCCTAATGCAATGCAACAGCCACCTTCATTGAAATTCCTCATCCTACATAAAATTTGGTATCAAAGTCAATGTTCTTTCTTGGAAAACCAATTGTTGTAGCCCCTAAGTAGATTGAGAGGAGAGTACCAAGCTAAAAGACCGAGAGATGATTGATAATAGCCACAATGATAAAATAATAGATCCCATTGAAGAAGTAACAAAACCTAGAACAAGATGGAGCTGCAAAAAGCACAACAATGGAATTGGATAGTCCATATTGGAAAAACAAGTTGTAGGAGCAAATGCTGAAACCCCATTTCATTGGCAAGCTCAACTATTGGTGACTTTGGACTTTAGAACCGAAAGATGATCTTTCGTAATAGAAGATATGATTGTACTGCTATTATGCCCATGTGGATGTTTCCCCTTTTCCTATTTTTTGAAGCATAAGTCTGCTGCATATTTAGATTGTTGACTATCTAGCCAAGTACTCAACTTAGAACCATACAAAGCCTGCAAACATTTGTTTCGTTACACTTGTCATAATCTAATTTTAAACGTGGTTTCATTTGTCTTTACTGAATTTTTTTTTTAATATTGTAGTCAAATTTTTTTATTTTGTAGATGTATCTAAAAAGTAAAAAAAAGTTTAACTAAAATATGAAAAAAATGTCACTAAAAACAAACAAAAACCCAAACAAAAATGTAAATAGTTTTGTGTTCGAATTTTCATCAATTTTAGTCAATTTATTTTAATTTTTAGACGCATCTTGATTAGGTGTATCTAAAAAGCACAAATAAGTGATTAAAATATTTTAAAAAATTTACTAAAAATAAATGAAAACTCATCTATAAACAAATTTTGAAATCAAACCAAACAGCTTGACTTAGCTTATAGAAATCATATATTGTAATAAGTTAATAACATCTGGATTATACAATGTTTTTCTTTGTAGAATTGCATTTCATAAAAAATAAAAATTAACTTCAAAAGGCCTGTTTGTTAAGTATTTTCTCTTCACCCCCATATAAAAGAGGTTTATTACATATATTCTACAATTTGGATGTTCCTGATTATCTCAATTTTTTGGGGAGTTTTTTTTTTAAAATTTTTATTTCTATTATTTTATTTTAAAATCTTTATCTTTATTATCTTTAGGATTTGGTTGTGATAATGAAGCTGTGATCAATATTATTGCCCATCGCGATGCAACACAACGTGCTCTGATCCAACATGAGTACAAATATTTGTATTCTGAGGACCTTTTTAAACGACTTGCTTCAGAACTTCATGGAAAATTGGAGGTATTAATTCCCCCTTTCCTTGGCACTACCCTCGAAATTTAAAAGCTTTTCCTCTCATGCTTCTTGTTTTAGTTAAAAACATAAGAGACTGATTTCTCCCCTTCGTCAAATTTGCATCTTGTAAAATCTGTTCGATGTGTCAGATAGCGGTTTTGTGCTGGATGCACGATCCAGCAGGACGTGATGCAACTATATTACAGCAAGGATTAAGTAGTTACACTGTTAATCTTCAATCTGTCACTGAAGTACTATGCTCTCGTACACCATCCCAGATTTATACCTTGAAGCAAATCTACCATTCCATGTTTGGGGTTTACCTTGAGAATGATATTGAACAGCAAACCTTAGGCGATTATAAGAAGGTAGTCCCTCTCTCTGCTGTGTGCTTGTGTTTATTGGATTTAGCATTATAATAAACAATGTGCTAGAAACATACAGCATATTAATTACCCATTTCAGTAACTTACTGAGATTCTGTTGCTAGCCCTCTTCACAAAAAAAAAAAAAATTGAAATAAACAAATAGGGTATTTCATCCATGTTTTGTTGTTCTGGTTCACAAGCTTATGTTTTTTTTTGGGATAAATATATATATATATATATATTGGCAAATAAGAAGCAGAATAAATATTTATACCTCTACTACTACTACTTGTATATATTTATTTTATTTTAGATTTATTTCTTTGTTGAAAAGAAGTTAGAAATCTATCGCTAATCTTGTTGTTCACCTGCACATATATCAGCATCTCTGATTTCTCCTTGGGTCCTTGAGACTACAATTATTCTTCTCCTGCCAATCGTAGCTTTTCATCACATGGAAAACAGAGTTTTATGTACATAAATATACATATATGTTTATACATGTGTACACATGAACACATATTTCCAGTGTTTTGGATTTCCCCGTTTTTTACATTCATGGGAGGAAATTGAGGGTCTGACTTCTTGATATGAAATACTGGTTGCAGATTTTGCTTGCTTACGTAACCACACCACGCTCTGAAGGCTTTGAAGTTGATAGAGAGCTGGTTGAAAGGGATGCTAAGGCTCTCTTTAAAGCAGGCGAGAAAAAATTGGGAACTGATGAGAAAACTTTTATCCGCATTTTTAGTGAACGAAGCAGGGCACATTTGGTTGCTATAGATTCTTCTTATCGTAACATGTATGGTAACTCACTTAAAAAGGTAATTTATTCTTAATGTCATCACTGTCTCTTTGTAGCTGAAATTCTTGTTATGATTCTTTAACAAATTTAGATAATTACAGGCTGTAAAGAGTGAAACTTCAGGGAAATTTGAGCTCGCCCTTTTGACAATCCTACAGTGTGCGCATAATCCTGCAAAGTACTTTGCAAAGGTATTTATCCAGTCTTAAGTTTTTCTTTTCTGATTAATTTAATTAGGACTTCTTAGCATGCATATATATATGGTTTTGTGTAATAGTTTTCGGGACTAGACTATCATTTGAGTATTGAACGACTGGTTTTGAGATATTGACTTGGGATTGTGACTTCCCAATTTCGTTGTTCTTTAACAATACTTTTATGCAACGCCACTAGTGCATAATGTTTTCTCAATTTCATTTTTGGTCAAGACAATAGGCAATATTATCTTTACCTTTTGTGATGGGATTATAGTTCTCACAATATTGCTGTGTTTGTTTTTTTATTTTTATTTTTATTTTCCTTCCATATATATATATATATATATATTAACTAATATGATCCATCATGGGGATTCAAGTTCAATGCATTGATAACTACTCTGGAATGTTACAGGTATTACATAAGGCGATGACAGGATTGGGAACCGACGACACAACACTTATAAGGGTTATTGTGACAAGAACTGAGATTGATATGCAATACATTAAAGCTGAATACCAGAAGAAATACAGGAAGTCATTGAACGATGCGGTTCACTCAGAAACATCTGGTCACTACAGGAGCTTTCTTCTTTCTCTGCTGGGTCCAAACCGTTAGGATTTTGATGGTTGTGTGTTTATGAATAAATATACATTTGCATGTGAATACGTGTAATGTATACCTTATGTTTGGATTGTTGTTGAACTTAATGGTTTTAGGTTTGCAGTTTCTTTAGTTGTGTGATGGGTGATGGCATAGGGGTGTGTACGGATTGGATTAATTGTCTTGTTGAGAAAATATCAATTGCATTACTCGTGGCAAATTGAGAAATTTCTAAGTAAGATTTTATTCTTCCAACGGGTTAATTAAACATCATTAAACTTCAGTTTTTGTAGGTTGGGCGGATTGAAAATATAGAATGGGAAAGAACATCATTGAACACACATTTTTCCTCATGATTTTCACAAAATATATTATTTATTCCAAATCACAACATAAAATTATATATTAATCAAATGCATAATGTTATTTAAATGATTTTTTTACAAAATATACAAATAATCAAGTTATGAAAAAAAATGTGACGAAAACGAGGGGTGAGTATCATCATTAATCAAAGTTAAAATTGGGAAGAGATTTGTGTGAGCAAGTGCAATGATGTAATTTGCATATATATATATATAGGGAAATTATATTGTTTTGTAAATTTTAAAAGATTTGATTAATTTTAAATCACATACGAGTTGATCGATCAATTTTTAACAATTAATCTGTCTAACTCAAGTCACTCGTTTTCAAGACTTATGGATGATTTGACTCAAATTGACATAAAAAATAAATTAAAGAGACTATTTTTTTTTTTAAAAAAAAAAACATGAAAAAGCAGGGCTTTTTCCCAAAATAAGCCTATTTTGCATTGTATTTCCCAAACTAGGCCAACTTATGAGGAAATTCCCAAAATAAGTTGAAGCGCTATTCCCATTCGCGCTTTTACTGTGAGGAGGTTGAAATTGGATGAACAGTGTAATCGCTATTCCAATTAGCGAGTTTGATTAAGAAAACGCTATTGCAAATAGCGCTTCTAAACAAAACACTATTCTGAATATAGCTTCATTTCGGAATGCAGGTTTGTGAAGAAAACGCTATTACAAATAGCGCCTTCACTGTATATGTGCCGAAAACGCTATTACAAATAGCGCCTTTACTGTTGACAAAAACGCTATTCGGAATAGTGCCTTTAGTTATGAAGAAAACGCCATTTCCAATAGCGTTTACACTGTACACCCAGCTCCCATTTCTTTCCTCATTAGCAGCTCCCATTTCTTTCCTCATTAGCAGATTATTTTTTTATTTTTTATTTTTTTTGTCTGTTGTCATTGTTTTGGTGATAATATGATTCATAAAATTGAAATTGGCTTTAGTAAAGCTATTGTCATGTTAAAATATGTTTTTTTTTTCTTTTTTTTTTCTTTTGTTTTTGAATGCAGGTTTACAATAAATTTTACATAATATGAGAAAAATCTGTTTTCATATATTAATTTTACATACTATTTTTCATATATATAATTTTAAAATCATATTCATTTAGATATTATTAAGCCAATCATATTCATTTAGATATTATTAAGCCAATCATATTCATTTAGATATTATTAAGCCAATCATATTCATTTAGATATTATTAAGCCAATCATATTCATTTAGATATTATTAAGCCAATCATATTCATTTAGATATTATTAAGCCAATCATATTCATTTAGATATTATTAAGCCAATCATATTCATTTAGATATTATTAAGCCAATCATATTCATTTAGATATTATTAAGCCAATCATATTCATTTAGATATTATTAAGCCAATCATATTCATTTAGATATTATTAAGCCAATCATATTCATTTAGATATTATTAAGCCAATCATATTCATTTAGATATTATTAAGCCAATCATATTCATTTAGATATTATTAAGCCAATCATATTCATTTAGATATTATTAAGCCAATCATATTCATTTAGATATTATTAAGCCAATCATATTCATTTAGATATTATTAAGCCAATCATATTCATTTAGATATTATTAAGCCAATCATATTCATTTAGATATTATTAAGCCAATCATATTCATTTAGATATTATTAAGCCAATCATATTCATTTAGATATTATTAAGCCAATCATATTCATTTAGATATTATTAAGCCAATCATATTCATTTAGATATTATTAAGCCAATCATATTCATTTAGATATTATTAAGCCAATCATATTCATTTAGATATTATTAAGCCAATCATATTCATTTAGATATTATTAAGCCAATCATATTCATTTAGATATTATTAAGCCAATCATATTCATTTAGATATTATTAAGCCAATCATATTCATTTAGATATTATTAAGCCAATCATATTCATTTAGATATTATTAAGCCAATCATATTCATTTAGATATTATTAAGCCAATCATATTCATTTAGATATTATTAAGCCAATCATATTCATTTAGATATTATTAAGCCAATCATATTCATTTAGATATTATTGGCTTAATAATATCTAAATGAGGTACTTCCAATGTTAGTATCATTTTTAACTTCATTTGTTTGAATAAAGTCAAAATTTTCTCCATCTCTCCATGTGTCAAACAATTCGGGATCAATTGGCTTTTTTGCCTTTCTCTTTCTTTTATTTATTTCTGGTGAAACATCTTGATTTATTGTTTCTTCAAAAGAAGTTGATCGATTATCATCATTGGTTGACATATTAATATCATAATTAAAATGTTGTATAAGGGCTTCATGTTCTAGATAAGTTTCTTTTATTTGCTCTAGTACAGTGAATTCACTGTTGCCATGTGACTTTCTGAATTGAGAATCGTAAATATATCAAGTAGAGATGAGTTGTGACTGTAATAAAAAAATCGAGCAAAAAATCGAGAAAACGAAAGCCTGTGCACCAAGTCACATGACTTGATAATCCATCTGCATATACAGACAAAATAAGGGCATGCTCACTGTAAGGTAAATCAATGAATTCACTGTTGTCATGTGACTTTCTGAATTGAGAATCGTAAATATATCAAGTAGAGATGAGTTGTGACTGTAATAAAAAAATCGAGCAAAAAATCGAGAAAACGAAAGCCTGTGCACCAAGTCACATGACTTGATAATCCATCTGCATATACAGACAAAATAAGGGCATGCTCACTGTAAGGTAAATCAATGAATTCACTGTTGTCATGTGACTTTCTGAATTGAGAATCGTAAATATATCAAGTAGAGATGAGTTGTGACTGTAATAAAAAAATCGAGCAAAAAATCGAGAAAACGAAAGCCTGTGCACCAAGTCACATGACTTGATAATCCATCTGCATATACAGACAAAATAAGGGCATGCTCACTGTAAGGTAAATCAATGAATTCACTGTTGTCATGTGACTTTCTGAATTGAGAATCGTAAATATATCAAGTAGAGATGAGTTGTGACTGTAATAAAAAAATCGAGCAAAAAATCGAGAAAACGAAAGCCTGTGCACCAAGTCACATGACTTGATAATCCATCTGCATATACAGACAAAATAAGGGCATGCTCACTGTAAGGTAAATCAATGAATTCACTGTTGTCATGTGACTTTCTGAATTGAGAATCGTAAATATATCAAGTAGAGATGAGTTGTGACTGTAATAAAAAAATCGAGCAAAAAATCGAGAAAACGAAAGCCTGTGCACCAAGTCACATGACTTGATAATCCATCTGCATATACAGACAAAATAAGGGCATGCTCACTGTAAGGTAAATCAGTGAATTCACTGTTGTCATGTGACTTTCTGAATTGAGAATCCCACATATATCAAGTAGAGATGAGTTGTCACTGTAATAAAAAAATCGATCAAAATATCGAGAAAACCAAAGCCTGTGCACCAGGTCGCATGACTTCACAAACTTAGTCCCCCAACTGGACCAACCACTTGGGTTTGAGCTTGTTTGTCCAGCTCCCGAAGTTTAGTTTTCTGTCAACCCCCCATTCCTTACCAGAGTCATCATTTTTACTGGACTTCCAAGAATTGGAATGCGACTCTTTCTTCTTTCGTGATGGAGATTGAAATTCTTTACGTTGAGGATCCCTATTTGACGAGGCCCAGTTACGGGAAGCTTTTCACCGACCTACCTGTTATGTTTTATGTGTTATTGAAGGCGGTAGTTCGTTTCACCGAGTTTAGTTTTTTGTCAACCCCGTCATTCATTACCGGAGTCATCATTTGTACTGGACTTTTAGGAATTGGAAGGTGACTCTTTCTTCTTTCCTAATGGAGATTGAAATTCTTTGTTAATTAATCCCTATTTCACCAGCCCCAGTTAAGGGAAGCTTTTGACCGAGCTACCTGTTATGTTTTATGTGTTTTAAGTATTCACATAATTGAACATACATTAATCCATTTATTAATCCAGAACATTCATTAACTCATTGCAATTCAATAAAGAAAGTCATGCAGTTCAGGTTCATAAAACAAATACTTGAAATACATCCGTACGTTAGATTAATAATAACATTGTCTTACACTCTAGTAACGAACATATGACACAACATACATACAAACATATATGGAAGATAACGGTGTTTGATTTCTTATTCCTCATCTGACATGTAGTAGTCAGAGAAATATTTTTCATTATTTAAGACATTATTTCGCTCAGTCATTGTCAAATCTCGGTTGCTTGCTTCTGCCATTTCGGTGGCTAGCTGAAGCATGAAATGTCGACATCTCCGCATCAACATTCTGTTGTTCTCTTTCTTAATTCTGGTAACTGCTATTTCATAGTCACTCACATTTCGTCTAGCCATGGTCAATGAACGACGATGAGGTACCGGTGCCCCAAAGTTACGTAGATCATTAAACAATCCTTCTTGTTCCGTTACCTTGAACGCCCATTCTGCTCGGATACCAGCATAATAATCCTTCGGACTTGAGTACTTTTCGCTCTTGTAGTCATAAGTAAATTGAGGTAGCAGCCACATTTTCGGATTTCTTTGCCGGCGTGAACTTCCTGCACCTCTTGAAGACATTGTTCAAAAAATAAAAAAGTTAATAATAATAGTAATTGTAGATATGTTACTATTGTTATGACTTCAACAAACATCATACTGGGGTATTTATAGACATCATAGTGGGGGTTAACTAGAGATGATCTGGTGACGATAATGCGTGCTGGGGCACTATGGAATATGTGATACACGTGATATTATTTTATGTTATTCATTTCATGCAATTTTGAGTACCCGTGACTTTGTGTACCTGTGATGTAGTTACGGACGTGGTTGTCAGATAAAAC